GAAGAGCAAACAGCTCCTCACCTTGTTGATCAGCTGCTGTGGAGGGTTGAAATTGGCCATGGAGAAGGAGAGAAAAAAACATTTTCTTAAAGACTCAAAAAAAAAAAAAAAATTCTGACACATGGAGACTAGCACACTTGTTATTCCACCAGATTTCTCCACACCTGCATGCATATAACACATCCTTTTAAAAATTCACTAACAACATTTGAAATTGGATTCATTTTAACATGGAAAAAAATTACTAAGAAAACTGCTAGTTACCAATGGCCAAGAAGGAAGACTTTTCCATACAAGGAACAATTTTTGGAGTTCTGTGAAAAGCTAATTTTGTCCTCCTTCTTCTTTTATTTATATTACAGATATTTTGCAAGTTCCATAAGACTCCATCCCACACAAGACAGTGAATCAAAGTGTCACAGAAGACTGAATTTCCTCAGTATTTCACAGTTACCAAAACACCTGTGCTAAATACTTTTCTGTGTATCAGCTGTGAAAACTCACCATTCAATAGCCCTCCAAATTTCTCATTTATTACCCATGGTGGGGGCACCTGGGTGCCTCACAATGGTTTATCATTAAATGCTTGGAAGAACAGTGTTTCAAGAGCTTCATAATAGATTTTTTAAAAAGAAAAAAAAAAAAAAAAAAGGACCAGCACATTTCACCTATGCTTCTTCGAGACACTGGCTTCTACCTCTTCTGAGATGCTGCCTTATCTGGAAATTAATTAAGCAGAAACTAGATGGGCACAAATACCCTAACATTCTGAGGCTTAATTAGCAAATGCTTTTTAACTTCACAACAGGTCTTAGCCTTGTTGGTTACTTTGTTTCTTAAGAGAGGAGAAAGCCAAGCGGTATTATTCTTTCCTTCCTTTCAGAGAGGAAACAAGCATGGAAATTTAAAAATAGATCAAGGGCAGCTCCCTAGCAATCCAGGCCGCATCGCTGGTATGCTAACAGGAGTGGCCAGCGTTTTGCCAGGTATGTCGGCAAGCCACTCCTACTGACGGCAAAGCCTAGGAGGGGACATCAATGTGAACAGGAAGAGGACACACACAGGTGCCAGACATTCCTGCAAGCTGTAGGCAACCTGATCAGCAGGGAGGCCAGTGACTGCACTGGGCCAGTTTGTCAACTGCATTCCCTCGAGAGGCTTTCTGTCCATCCCTCGGGGGAGTCAGTGAGAGGCTGAAGGCGGGAGGACTCCTGGTCATCCAACTCCGACGAGAAATCATTTCTGAAAGATTGCTATTGGACAGTCAAAACTCATGGCCCTGACTTCTCTTTATTAAATAACAAGGGAGAAAATGAAAAGATGGAATGTTTATTGATAGTCTTTGTGCCTGATGCCGTACAGCTTGTTTTTTGAGGCTCTGATGTGAAGGGAAAACAAAAAAAAATCTCTGCATGTCATATAGCTGCGGAGTACAGGCGCCCTGGTGCGCACTGTGAAAATATCATAGGAAAATATGACATCGAATTGTCTGCCTACGATGATACCATTTCTTATTAAAATAAAAAGAAAAAAAGATCTAGAGACTAACAATGCTTTCCCTTTTCTCACTCAGACTTCACATAAGGAAAGTTACCTGGATTTTCAAGATGTTAAACATGTCCTCGTGTCAGAAATGGAATAATTAAGCATTCAATGCCAGCCGCTTAACCACGCGTGCCCCCCCCCCACCGTTTTTTTGGCTCGCCTGTTCAAAATGCCTTTTGAAGGAAAATGTCAAGCAAATTATTTTTATTCAAAATATTTTTCTTTTTTCTTTTCTCCCTCCCGCCCTCTCTTCCCTTTAATGCAGCAGTCTCAAAGGTTTGGCCATTCACTTTTTTTCATACAAATATTTTTCTCTCTTTGCTTAGAAAAAAAAAAAACAAGCAAACTATGGCAATAAAAAGGTAGAAAGAGGAATACAATGAACTTTTTCATGTTTCTCTCATCAAAATTACAAGGAATAAAACCTTAGAAAGGCTGTTGAAAGTTCATTCCTTTTCCACACACTAAGAGAATCATTCCTCAGAATATGGTACCTATCTTTCCCAAACATTTCTTTATACCTTCATTCTATAGGCACTAATAGTTTGTCAAGTTTACAAAATTTTTTATGTATTGTTATATTGTACAACTTGCTTTTTAAAACTTCTATGATTTGGTTTTTTTGTTTAAACGAAAAAACCTCCAATTGCATTTTTGCAATTTATCCGTGTTTGTACATTTTGTTTTCATTTCATATACTATATACTTAGATGAATAAAATACAAATTATATATTCTTTTCAACTATGACACTCAGTTTCCAGTTTTAATACAATTATGAGCAATGCTGGTGCTACCGTTCTTGATCATATGTAAAGATAAATTATTACCTGCTCAGAACAAATAGGTCCAAGACATGTCGTCACTTCTTTGTACAGTCTATGCAACCTATGATGTTGCCTTAAAAATTTTTTTTAATGTATTACACTCTTATGAGGTATGACTACTTTGCTCTGTGTTTTATATAATTTACCTCTCACTGTAACAATCTGAAGTAAGCAATTTTATCTCCATTTTACAGAAACAGAAACTGGGGTTTGGAGAATAGCAGCAACTGGGAAACAGCTGTCTGGCTCCAAAAGTTATGCTTCACGCCACCATTTTCTGCCACTGCCCATGCACGGATATCTCATTCCATTGGCCTCTCAAGGTTTTAAATGGAGCAGTCTTCCCAACAGAAATTGGTTGAGCATGAATCCAACAAATTCTTACTTAAATATACATTATATATATTTAAAATTGCATCAAATTATATACATTATAAACACATGAAAAATAGAAAATGGTGAGATAAGCATGAGATGTCATGTTATTATATATATGCTCTTTCTCAAATATATTGAGAGAAGTCATTATTATTATCTATATTGAATATATTAGTATTATTTTGACAAATAGGCATTGTATATTTTTTTATGTTTGATTAGAAGTTGGAGAATGAGGAGACAGTTATATTTGGATGTTAGGAAAACAAAGGTTTTGTTTGTGGATTGACTCCTCTAATACCTTTTCTATTTATTGTTTGTTCCTGTATTTGAGTCTCGAAGTACAAGAATATTATCATCATGGGCTTCCCAGGTGGCGCTAGTGGTAAAGAACCTGCCTGCCAATGTAGGAGACATAAGAGATGCGGGTTTGATCCCTGAGTCCAGAAGATCCCCTGGAGGAGAGAATGGCAACCCACTCCAGTATTCTTGCCTGGAGAATCTCATGGAGAGAAGAACCTGGCAGGCAAAGAGTCAGACACAAGTGACTTGGCACATATCATCATCATGTTTTCTGGTATATATTTTAGTGAGGGCAAAGTGAATATGCACTTTGTGTTATAGTGATTCACAGGTCTAGTTTCAAGTTCAGTTTTGTTTTGTTTTTTAACTCCTAACATGTGTTCTTAATCATTGTCATTGATAAAAAGGAACCCTCACAGGTCACTGACTGTGCTTACTAAATCATGATATTCATTTTTCAATCTCATCCACCAATTACATGAGTTTTTGGCTTAAATGTAGCTCATAAATTTCAGTCTTCTTTAATGTCATTCAGCTATTCTTGCAAACTAGTGATAAAGCGTTATTTTTATTAAAATGTAAAGATTAGTTAAAAATTCAACTTAAAAACACTATTTGGATGGTTAAAATAGGTTTGAAAAAAGGCTATTTCCAAATTTTCAAGAGCTAAGACATGAGTGTTTTGGGCTATATTGTTTGTTTTTAATGTGACATGCATTGTTTTTGGCAATGAAATTGCCTTTCAATGTAAAGTTTTCTAAACATCGTATTTTAAAATACTTTTCCAGAGCATAAGTTTTTAAAAATATGCACTTTTTTCACACTCATTGTGAAAATATTATCAGAGACTGTTTAAGTGTGTCTTTTTCAAATATATACTAATTAGCACACTAATATGTAACTCATCTTTGAGTTCAATAATACTTTAAAGAACTTTGACAAGAAAGAATCTAAGAATCTCTCTGAGGGACGAAAGTCTTTATAATCAATCTCCATTTCATTGTATGGTAGACAATAGTCTCGCTTTTATAAAATTAGCTGCATTGTTGATAACCTGTATTAAAATAGGAATTTTTAGTTTATCCCTCAATGAGGTGGTGGATGAACTTCGTATTTGATGCCTTTTCCACAATCTTAATCTGGTAATCTTTTCCAGTCTAGTCAACAAGGCCAGTCATCAATATTAAACTTACTGAAAGAATCCTACACTTTTCCGCAAAACACAGTTTGTATTAGAGAAGCTGTGCAATAGAAAAATAACTTCATGGGAACACCTTTCTTTATATTGACTTAAAAAGATTATATTTGTATATATTGTGGAATAAAAATTAAGTAATTACATTATTTGAAATAATTATAAATCTGAATATTTATTCAACTGCATAGATAAATTCCACATTTCATAATTCAAAATGATGGTTATATCTCCAACTATTTATTCCTATTTTCTATGCATTTTATAGTATTTATTAACAAATATATTTCAGTTTGTGTTCTATATTACTTTTTTACATTATTCCAGTTATTTCTGCAGTAGCAGAAAGAACAAATATGTGGCTTTTTAATTCTTGCTATTAAGAACCTTAAAATAGACTCCTGCATATTATCATTAAGTGTAATACAATTTTGTTAAGTACTGGAATAAGCAGTGTGTGCCTTTTAATATCCCGGAAACAACTCTATAGTTTGCCTCCAAGCAACTCTAGGGTTTGCCTTCAAGTTCCACATGGTTAGTTTTTAAATGTCTTGTTAATTGTGATGGCTTCATTCTACATTAGCTAATATTTCAAGGCACAACCCACACTTAGTGCAAAGTTGATCCTAGACAAAAATAAATAGAAATCCTTACATCAGATATTATTCTTGATAAATTCAAATTGTGGGCACCAACTTTTCAGTCAGATGTGATTAGATGGTCATTATTGGTATGCTTGTATTTTACCTCATTTTGTGGCTTTTGAAGATGATATTCTAAAACAGGAAGTGTCAGTTCTTTCATTTTCAATTGCTCATTTATGTTTCCATCATTAGTGTTTTGCTATCATCAATTTGCAGTTTCTTTGTAAGAATCTGTTTAGATAAAAATTGGCAATATATTCTGCAAATCCATTTAACAAAGCATATGTAAAAAGCAATAATATGTCTCAATATGTTCAAGGAAGAAAAAAGGAGTGGGTGGCCTCTGTCAACAGCCCATTATATAGGATTCCCACTCTGCCCCATGGATATATCATACTAATTTTTATATAAAGTTATTAAAGTTAATTCCATGTCTTATGTTCATCTAAAAAGAAAACATAATGTCTAATATTTCTTTTCTATAACTTGGGATAAATGCAGCCACCTTTATATGTCAATTATATTATTCCATACCTAGCTTAAGAGGCTCAAACCCAGGATGAAGTTCATTCACTCATTCAACAAGTGTTTATTCATGCCAGGCATAATGTGCATCTCTGGGAATAGTGAAGTGTTAGATGAAAGAGGGTCCATTTCATGGAACTTACCATTTAAGTAGAGGAAAAGACAATTAAGTTAAAAGGCACACACATATATATATGTAATATATTATAATTAGTGACCTGGTGGAAACGAACATGAGCGTGAGTACAGACATAATTTAGATGATGAGATCAAAGGTGTCTTTGAGGAGACTTGTAAGATGAGAAGATAACACTGGGAAGAGCTGGAAGAACAGGACTCTACCGCTAATACGGTTAGACCGAACCTGGGAAGGGAAGGGGCTTCCTGGTGGCTCAGATGATGAAGAATCTGCCTGCAGCACAGGGGGCCAGGGTTCGAGCCCTGAGTTGGGAAGATGTCCTGGAGCAGAGAATGGCTACCCACTCCAGTGTTCTTACCTGGAGAATTCGGAGCCTGGTGGGCTACAATCCACTGGGTCGGAAAGAGTTGGAGAAAGGGAGTCAAGATCAATGTTTCTAAAGATGCAACTTTAGGTGTAGTGAGGCATTAGAACAATGGAACATTTGGAAGCCAGTGGCTGGATCCAAGGAGAGCAGCAAGAGGTGTCTGCAGTGAGGGCAGTGGGGACCCTCTTGTAACAGCATTGAAACTAAAAGGAAAAATGAAATTTGGATGCCATGTAATTGTTGTAAAAACTATTTTAGGAGCCCTATAAGAAAAGCCTGGGAACTTCTAAAACATTTGGAGTAGCTTTGGTGGGGATGAGCGCATGCTCTATCGCTCAGTTGTGTCCGACTCTTTGCGATTCCATGGATTTCAGCCCCTCAGCCTCTGACCCAGGTTCCTCTGTCCATGAGATTTCCCAAGCAAGAATACTGAAGTGGGTTGCCATTTACTACCTCAGGGGAGCTTCCCAACCCAGGTATCAAAGTTGCGTCTCCTGCATTTCCTGCATTGGCTGGTGGATTCTTTACCACTGAGCCACCCAGGAAACCCCTTTGGTGAAGATAAGGAGGTTTAATGAGATAATAAAAGTGGGTAGGGACAAATAGAAAATAATAAAAAGTAAAGTGAAAGGTTATAAGCAATAGTTATTTCCTATGTATTGACAGCAGAACAGACAAGACATTGTCCTAGATGTTAGACAAAGTTGGGTTTAAATGCGAACTCTGCCACTTGCTACTTGGATTATCCTGAGAGATTTTCTTCATCTCTCTTGAGTGTCAGTTTAATATATCTCCAAAATATGAATAAAGACAGCATCTGCCCACATAGGTTGTGTGGCATATGTGTGATTAGTTAATGCATGGTACTTAACACAATGTTTGGCATTAAGGACTTGATAAATTTTAGCTACCTGAATTCTTCTTTCATGAGTAACACAAAATACTTTGTGTCACTTGGGAGCCTAAGAGACAGCAAGCATCAAAGTGCAGGGATCCATTCTTTCAGTATTAGCAATCTTATTCTGCAAGTAAGAAGACATTGTTTTACTGATTGAGTCATCCCTTTTGGAAGTAGAATATTGTCATCACATAACAAAAAGTACCAAGTCACTGGGGGAAAAAGAACACCCACAGCTACCATTTACCATTTGTTAAAGGAACTGCTGCCCTCATTTACAAATACACCAATAAATAGCTAATGAAATTTCTCTTTCATTTGGTGATGCTGTATTCCATTGACCTTTCCCAGCTTTGGGAATGATAGTGCTAAAAAAAATGTGTTTCAAAGGCAATAAAGGAGTGAAGAATGGACACGGGTTATAAATACCACATACACATACACAGATGGTTTAATTTTAGAGGAATGGCACTCTCCTTAACTGGCATTTCTCTCTCTTGCCCCAAAATCTACTACTGGATCTCATCATTTCATATATTCTTTAACAACTTACCATCTTTTTTTAAAAAAATTTTTTAAGAGACAAAATAGAGTTTTCAGCCAAAACTTTAATAAATGGAAATCACATATCATCTTGTTGGCATAGAAAAACATAACATGACCTCATAGAAATGAGAAAGACGAGCAGAGAGGTGCCAGGAAGGGCAAATGCTATTACAAGGGAACATATTTCTAATTGTATCCACCTCTCCATTTGGGAAAACATAAGAAGGCTGCCAGTAATGACTTACATCTTAGATACCCAAACCCTTTACCTCAGTTTCTTCTTAAGAAGAAATACTACCTAGAACATCTATTAAAGTAGGCCACAGTCCCCATAGGCCCAAGTGTTGCATCCCCTTGAACAGAGCAACTTGAAATTTTCTTGGACATTTATTTATATAGAATTTAAATAATGATAAACTGTTTTACAAAATGACTTATTTCTTTTGCTTTGATATTCTGAGCCTCTATCTTGAACAGGATACTGCCTTCCCCTTTCCTAACAAGGTGGAGAGCATATTACAATTTTCTTTAAAAGTAACATGTGTCAGTTCACAAGACATCTGTCAGTTCACACACACACAAATAATAATAAGCAAAGTACAGTTCTTTGCTATAAGTACTTAACTGTGGCAGCTATGCATTCTCACTTAAGAAAATCTGTGGGCTTAGAGAAGAGACATCTTTTGTGATAACTACACAGTCAGTGGACAACATTCAGAATAACCTATTAATTTTTAAAACCACTAATGCACAGTTGTAGCCTTTTCTTTTGGTAGTAATAGTAAAGCAGAATTAGAGGCACTAGCATTATACATTCTAATAACTTAGTATTTCAAGAGTTCTAGGCGAGACTGGTCCTATTATTATTAACACTTTAACATTAAGCAAACCGGCTCCAGGGCCAGATGAGGTAGAGGAAGCATGCTCCACCCTACTGATCACACTGTATATATTCTCGACACAGCTGTACACCATCTGTGTATATGTCTATGTGTGTTAGTCACTCAGTCGTCAACCCCATGGACTGCAGCCTGCCAGGCTCCTCTGTCCATGGGATTTCCCAGGCAGTAATAGTGGAGTGGGTTGCCATGTCCTCCTCCAGGCGATCTCCCCGACCCAGGGATTGAACCCAGTTCTCCTGCATTACAGTCGGATTCTTTACTGTCTCAGCCACCCAGGAAGCCCTGTACAACCTCCACATAGCTACAAAACCTGACAGCATACAAGGAGCAACTACGTGAAGACTCTGAAAAATAAAGAGCAGCAAGCAGATTGAGGAGGAACACAAGAATTCACTAACACTCCTGAACTGGCAATGAGCTGACTGACAATTTTTCCTTTTATTTTTTTCAACCTAACCGATCTCAATGTAATCTGAGAACTAAAAGTAGTAACTGAGTTCCTTCTCATTTTGCTCCAAGAGTGGAAAGAATTTCCAAACACTCAGAGAGAGGGCAGAAAGGATTTTTTTTTTTTTACTGTTTCTCGATTTCTTCACACTGCCGCAGCCCCCAGGAAATCCTGTGCTAGCAGCAGTAGTGGCAGACATGGGACCCTGCCGGAGACAAAGCTCAAAGAGAGGAACACCTTTCTCTCTATTTTATGAAATTATAGTTCCAGGAGAGTGGGGAGAAGGTTCACTCTCTCTCTCAGTCCTCTTGCAACCTGGTCTCGGGTGTAAACACAATCACAGTAGTGCACACCAAGGTTGGACATTGGGTTGCTAAAGCCCCAGCATTCTGGATGGAGAACTGAAAAGGAGCACTCCAGAGAACTGTTATACAGGGGAGACTAAATGAAAGTAGCTTAGAATAACAGCCCTATGAACGTTGTTATGAACTGTATAGATCTGATTCTAATCAGCACACTGAATAATTTCCATGCTGAATGCATAGATCACTGCCCAGATCCCAGACTGGTCACCATGTGGCACACACGTGACACAGATCCGAATAGCCCCACATAGGATTTGAACACTGCACTGACACTATGGCTACGGCCCAAAGGAGGCACACTATGACTTGCAACTTGAATCTAAACTGGTCAAACAAAAGTGTAAACATTCTCCTTGTAATTTAACATACTCAAAATTTCATAACATAATATTCAAAATGTCCAGGACTTAACAAACTCTCAACTTGTATGGGAAAAGACGATTAACAGATATTGATGCTCAGATGATAAAAATGTCACAATTATCTGATAAAGAATTTAAAGCATAAAACTGCTTTAATGAACAACTGCAAATACACTTAAAGTAAACAGAAAAACAGAAAGTCTCCACAGAGAAAAAGATAATACAAAAAAGAATTAATTAGACTAATGAACTTAAAAAATATAATAAATGAAATTATAAACTCACTGGATGGGCTCATTAGTAAAATAGAGATAACAGAGCAGTCAGTGAATTTGAATATAGAACAATAGAAATTATCCAATCTGTACAACAAAAAGGAAAAAAAAAAGAAGAGTCTTAGGGACTTGTGGGACAATAACAGAATGTCTATTATTGTCTCTGAGAGAAGAGAAAGAGTGAAGTACTAAGAACATTTTGAAGAAATAATAGCTAGAAACTTTTCAAGTTGGTGAAATACATAAATCTACAGATACAAGAAGTTCAACAAATCTCAGACAAGAAAAAAAAAATCAATGCCTCAAAACATAATTAAATTGCTGAAAACAAAAGACAAAAGGAAAATCCACAGAACAAATCAAAACATGGAAAAACAACATATTCCCTATGAGAGAAAAATTATTTGAATGATAGTAGATTTCTTTTCAGAAACCATGGGACCAGAACGAAGTTTCACAGCATTTTTAAAGTGCTGAATGAAAAATACTGTGAACCTTGAGATTTATACCATGAAAATATCCTTCAGAAATGAAGAGCAAAACAAAACAAAGCATTATCAGATGAAGGGAAACTAAAAGAATCCATTGCCAGCAAATTTGCTCTGAAGTTGAGCAAAGAATATTGGAAAGATAGAGTGACTTGATTTTAATCACTGGATGATTCTCTTTCTTTTTTTCTCAGTTATATTTCCCCCTATCAATAGCATTAATTTATACCTCTGGAGCTCAGTAAACACTAATCTGACATGGTAGAGGACAGTGACCTGCATTTACTCCTCAGATGGAACTTTCAGTCAATAACATATATAGATATATGCCATTTATACCTGTATAAATATAGATATAAGTATTTATATTGGCATGTAAAACTGAATGGGCTTTTTAAAAATGATACTCAATTTTGAGTTTCTTATAATAACAAAAAAATCAGAGAAGATTTTTGGAATAATTATCAAAGAGAAGGCTTTAGGGGCTTCCCTGGTGGCTCAGTTGGTAAAGAATCTCCCTGCAAGGCAGGAGTCTGCCTGCAATGCAGGAAACATGGGTTCAAGCCCTGTGTCAGGAAGATCCCCCAGAGGAGGAAATGGCAACCCACTCCATATTCTTGACTGGAGAATCCCATGGACAGAGGAGTCTGGTGGGCTACAGTTCACAAGAGTCAAACACAACTAAACCACCACCAGGGGAATATAAAGAAAGTAGTACTTTTTAGGAATGGTTTTCTTGTTATTAACTAAAAATAAAGCGATGTTATCATAATAGTCAAAAAATTTAAAGTCAAAAAAATCTAAATTCCTCCATTCTGAACCCCACCAGGTCCCTTCATCTCTCTGGAATTAGAAAATCTAGAGAATCCATCTTTAAGGCTAAGTCTAATTTCCTTGCACAGATATCACTGGTTTTAAGGTCTACACATGTATTTGAGTGTTTTCAGCCATGATTCATCAGCTAAAGATAAAAATCATGAGGAGAGAGAGATCTGGGTTTATCTTCATAATATTTTAATGTTTTTAGATATCTTCTGAAAATTGAATTTATACATGTTGGCCCTCCACTAGACTAACATTTCTAAGGAGTTGGAGTTCCCAACCAAAAATTAAGCTTCAGCAATAACAGCCTTCTTGATAAATCCTCCTATCTCTCCAGGTGACTATTCATTTTTTAAAGCACACCCTGTATGAAAATATGTTATTTTTCTTGATTTATTTATAGTCAGCTTAAGAATTTCTTCTCCATCTGCTTTTATTCCTTGTTTTAGTTTAAAAGGAAGAGCTGCCTAAACTCAATGGATCAATAGAAAGCAGCATACACTAATGCATTCATTAGGATGTTAAAATCTTATTTCCTGTTAGCCAGCATGGCTCACCTGGGTTTTCATGTTGGCTCTAAGGACATTTCATAGCTGATCTTTCTCTGGAATGTTCTGCTTGCTGAGAATTTTGCACTGATGAAGGTACAGGAAAGTGACTTGACCATAAACTGCAGATGTTTCAGAGTGCTCACTTTGGTTCTCACCCGTATAGCAGGCGTAACAATAGGCAAACAACTCCTTGAATACTAAGGGCATAACCAAAATCCTATGTTTCAGTACAGACTTCTCAGCCAAATGTGGCAATGAGAAATAAACATGAATAGATACTGAGATTTCACTGCTTTCGAGCAAAAACTGAAGAACAGGCTGTCATACTTTAGAAAGGTTTTATAATGATCAAGACCTTTTGGAGT